CAAAACTATTCTAATTTCTAAGGCCCCTACATCATTGCACCAAGGACCTCTTGCAATGTATTTTGGGATGCTGGGTTTTGATTTTGTATCGACGTGCTGTCATGTGCTTGATGACTCCAGTGTATCACGAGATGAAAGACCAAGCTGGAAGCGAAATCTTCAAGCTGTCGCACGATGCTAGGGCTTGGGGTATAGGGTTTAGTATAGGGTTTAGGGCCTTTCGGGTTTAGGGTTTAGGGCCTTTACCCTAAGGGTCCATGTGCCCAAATAGTATATACTCTGGCGTTTAGGCTAAACCTAAGCCCTAAACCCTAAACTGTTAGGCAAGAGCTCCTTGCTTTGGTGCTTCTGAGTCCCTGCATCTTCCCAGATCGTCCCGCATTCCTTAGAGAACGGTTTAGGGTTTGGGGTTTAGGGCTTTGGGTCTTGAGTGTTGGGTATCTTTTGACGGATGCTGGGCCAAAGTGTCTTTGGTTATGCTACGGATCCTTGTATCCAGGGTCCGGGTATTGTGTATTCCGTATGCATTAGGCACCCCAGCAGTGCCCTCTTGCCCTTTTCTATTTGGGGTCCCTTATTAAAGCCGCATACTGTAGCCTATACTATAATCATATAGCAGCAAAGGGTAGCCCTAAGCCCTAAACCCTATAAACCCTATTATTATAAACCCTAAACCCTAAACCCCAAACCGAAAGCCCTAAAACCCGGGTAGCTTTGTTCTTAAGGGGCTACTGGGGAAGCTGGGGCACGTTGGCATCCGAAAGCTCCAGGGGCTGAAAATGTCCATGCCATGCCTAGAAGTTCCCATAGGCCCCCTAAGTAGTTCCTTTTTATGGTTTATATTTAGAATCCTATAAAGTTCTCCCAAAAAGGAACTACTTAGGGGCCTATGGGTTATTATTGCGGCCGGTTTAGGGTTAGGGTTTAGGGATTTAGGGTTTAGGGTTTAGGGTTTAGTTTCCGGTTGATGATATACATCCTGGATTACCTTATGGACCCTAAACTGTGGGAATTATTGTATATTCCTTATTCTGGGTTCTGGGTACTGCAGGATTTATATCATCAACCGTATCAATATAGACGAAATAATTTAATATTAAGCATTTAGAGTCCGTGTTGCAAACACGCGAGACTAGATCCCTCAAAAGTCCTTAAACCGTAATACGCTAGTGATTAAGGCCCAACATACCTCCCCTCTTCATTGGCGCCAATGGGGCCGCTGTTGACAGTGAGCTTTTCTTCTGTCTCTACGGATTTAGGGTTCAGGTATTTTTGGTAAGTATCTTAATTCGGGTTCAAAGTAACTTTCACATGCTTGGAGGCGTCAGGGTTTTAATTGACCTGAGGGTTTTTGGGAAGTGAGGCAAGTCAGTTCTGTCACTCTGGTTGCCTAAGGCACGAAGCAGTGTGTGCTAATAGGTTATGGATGCGGTTTTCCTCGGGGGTATGACAGGTGCGTCCTGTCACATGCGAGGATCAGACACCAACCAGCATGGTTTTGACAGACTACACCACTGATGAAGATCAGGAGACCTGCGCGCAGGATGCAAATTACTCGTGGCAGACAGCAATGTCTTTGCGCAGTAAGTGCAGACCTCGGAGTGCCTGTCGCAGAGGCTATTCTCACCTTCTGACTCTTATCCTTTCGCTACTCCTCGTAAAGATCGTGATGATTGCCAGGATTGCGCTCAAAACCAAGTTGTTCGCTTTATATAGGCTCTGCTAGGAGGAAGCGCTTCCTCCTTTACGAGATGCCGCTGGTGTTGTCGCGCAGCCAGCGGCGTAGCTTCCAGCAGGGTTAGAGTTGCCAGAAGCCCTAAACCCAAGGGGGTTTTGGGTTTAAGGGTTTAGGGGGCTACATACCATACTTTATAAGCCCTAAACCCCAATTCTTTCCAAACGTTCCCTCCCTTTGCTTTGACTCGCCCTGGACTCCATTGTCCCGTATTAGGGTTGCAATAACCCTTACATCCTAAATCCCAAACCTGAACTTCAAAAACCATCCCGAAACACCCGAACTCTCAACCCTGAATTCCTAAACCCTCAACCCTCAAACCCTTAACCCCAGACCATCACAGACTCCAAACCATTAACACAACGCCAACACCTGCACACCAAGAACTGAAGTTTAGAGGGCAGAACCTTAAATCCTACACCCTACGCCACGACAACTCTCCTTCAAACAAAACATAGGTCTGTAGAGCCCTAGAGCCTAAACGCCGAAGAACGGAGGCTTCAATCCCTAAACCCTAAACTTCTAAACCTTTAATTTAACCCGTGGACCCTGAACCCTAAAACCCCAAATCCTAAACCCTAAAGCCCCACTGCCCCTAAAGCGCAACCCCGAAGAACAGAGGCGAGCTCCCGGACTTCGTCGAACTCCTCCATGTCCTTCTTCGGAAGTGCCCTCAGGCCTCTGGGGGATTCGGGGGATGCTCGGGTTTAGGGTTTAGGATGTTAGGGTTTAAAGTTTAGGGGGGGTTAGGGTTTAGGGGTTAGGGGTTTGGAGTTAGGGGTTTGGGGTTAGGGTTTGGGCTTCGGGCTTCCTGCAAGGACTTTCCTAGTAGTAGAGTAGGCAGCGTTTCACCTTCTTGGGGTACTATAATCCCTATATAGTCCCAATTTAGACCCGATATAATCCCTATATAAATCCTTTTTGATCCCGGTATAGTCCCTACATAGTCACAATATATTCCCAAAGGTTAACCTTTAGTTTTTTTCCCGATACTGGACAAGTAGGCTTCCATAGTGAGGGAGTTTAGGGTTTAGGGCCGCTCCAATCCTCAGGCTTCTTGATGAGGGTTTGGGGGATGAAAGGTTCCCTTTTCAACACCCTTTTGTCCCTCAGCCCTAAACTCGAAACCTTTTAAATCCTTAACCCCAAACCCTAAACCCGTTAAATCCTAGAACCTAAACCTAAAAACCCTTATGTCCCTAAACCCTTAACCCTATGTAAAGGGAATCCTTTAAGGGATCTTTGAGGTGGTTTCCTGAGAACTTTGGGTGGCTGCTAGGGTTCAGGGGTTTAGGATTCAATCGGTTTAGGGCCTATTTGAAGGGTTTAGGATTTAAAGGGTTTAGGGTATTGAGGTTGAGGGATTAGGGTCTTCGGCGAGAAGCATGGCCGAAGGTACTGTGCAGTTGATGCTCCGGTGGCCGACACAAAAGCGGGAAGCTATGTGGGGCTTTCCGATAATTAGGGTACCTTAGTTTGGGGGTCCTTAGAATAAGGATCCTACTATTAAGGGTACTATATTAGGGTCCCCTATTTTCGGAAACCCCCATGTGCAGCGAGCAGAAGCATCGTACATCATCATTTTCCGTGTCAGAACCTGTGAGTTTGTTGCAGCATTACTACAGCATTACAGTCATCATCACTCCCGCTATCGTACCATTGTCACTGTCAGTGTTAGCGTGAAGTGGACAAGATAAACATATCTGGAAATAGAGGTCATTCTGATGATGATGATGGTGATGTTGATGATGATGGCGATACCGTGAAATTAGCAGCGATATTGTTAGATCATGACATGGTAATAGCGAAAGTGGTGATGTCGATGATGATGGTAGTGATGGTGATGAGATGAGGTTATCATGGTGGCAGCACAAGTCGAACTTAGTTGCAGGTGAAGAAGATTATGATCAAAGTGATGATGGTGATGATGTTGGTCAGCTGGTCACAGTCGAAGATAGAAGTATTACCATCGAGTTTTGAATTTGGGACATGCCGGAACGTGATATGAGGTAGGACTTAGGCTAGTGTCTTCTTGTAAGTGCCTTCCCCGAACAGTTCATGGCTGTCGATGTCTGGAGTCCTTGTTGGAATAGCAGCTTCTTTGGACAACCTACGTAACCTCTAAACCGTCTCAGCGCTAGGCCCCTGAATCAGAACCCTGGAGGCACAAAGCCTCCCAGGCCTGAATCCCTGACCCCTAAGCCCTTAACCTCTGAACCCTCCGAAGCCCAGAACTTCAAACCCGCCACCCTAAACCACAAATCCTCAACTAATTCCCTAAACTCTAAACCCTAAGTCCCTAACCCTAAACCCTAAGTCCCTAACCCTAAACCCTATAAGCCGTAAAACCCTAAACCCTATAAGCCCTAAAACCTTAAACCCTAAGTCCCTAAGCCCTAAGTCCCTAAGTCCCTAATTAAACCCTACCTGAACCTTCTTTCGTAATGTTTTTTTCTATAACGGAAAATAAATGCACGATTTATATGAGAAGTACACGGATTGGGAAAAGCGCACGGATTCGAACAAATGTGTTCGACCTGATCTTGGTTGGGACTGTGGGGTGGGTTTAGGGCTTATTATTGCGGCAAGCTCCAACAATCCCCAGTGTGAAGCCTCCATATCCAACACACAGCGCATGCACATCTACCTTTTCTTCGGGCGAACATCGGATCCACATCGGCCGGGCGCTTAGCACAAAAAGCGTGCAAATTGCCGCTTGTAGTGGACAAGTACTTTCGCGAAAGTCCTGCTTACAAGTTTGAAAGGATGGCATTTCCTCGTTATTCTGGCCACTCGGCCGATGTAGTCTTCGTCACTCCAGCACGACCAGCCTAGGATTCGTAAACCCAAGCAAATTTATCTGAGTTTGGGTCCTGTGTGATCACTATATAAATCATCGACTAAGTTCAGGCAGGGTGCTCATTGTGTTGTGGATTTTCGAGCAACCATCTTCCAGTGCCCATTGAATCTCCAATCTGGTATGCAATAGTGGTTGCTTCGATTATCGAGGGTTTTGGGGGCTTTCTTAAGATTCAAAAAGCAGATTGAAACTGATCACCACTTGCATCCGAAGGCTCACGAGATGTGCTTGCATGTGCAGCTTGGGCCTCAATTTAAACAGAGCCCATTTTCTTTCCATGGCTTTGTGGGCCAAGATGTCATAGCCCTCCTCTAGTGTAGCAGGGGCACAAACAACAGTCGTGTAGTAAGTCATTATAGAACAAACACGCACATATGTTTGGGGTTTAGGACCACTTAAGCTAGCCTAGGAATTTATCCCAGGGTCCAGCATCTTCCACCCACTCTCCATTGCCAGCTGTGCTTGGGAAGGATCAAGAAAAACGCCTGCATTGTACTGGGTCCGGAAGTAAAAGCCAGATGCCCTCAATGTCCAAGCAAGTAGCTTCAGAAGCTGAAGGTCGTCGTGGTTTTCCTAGGCTGTGCATACCTACCGGTAATTTCTAGCAGGACAAGCTATAGCTATAAATTAATAACGATTAGAAGGGCTTCTAGGTTTTAGGAATGTACGAACATCCATAGTCACCCTCCATAAAGCCCCCATTAACACCAACAAGAAGCCACTGCATTCGTGGCGGTTACGGTGTTTGAGACGAAGTCCTCGAGCCAAGCCAGCATCACAGCACAATCGTGGCCCTTCCCCAGGCCACCGGGAAATTTTTTCAGCCTGGTATTAAGACCCATATTTCACCACAAGCCGCAACATACTATCCTCGATAGCCCTATCTATAAAACGTGAATCTACATCCACGTGACGATTTGTCAGTCTTGAGCTCCTTGAGGTCAAAACGGACGATCGACGTGCTCTTTCCAGCGGCCCGGCAAAAATCACGGAAGTGGTCGTAAGCCAAACTCAGTGATCTCTCGAGTGATCCACACCAAATAATTCGAAGGTGGATAAGACACAACAGGGCACCGGCTGCTAGATCCTTCCCCCAGCCATTGATCGCATAGGTGTGCGCGGGGTCCGGGTGTATGCACAACGGGTTGGATCCAATGGACGACAATGATCGTAAAGGGGATACAGAGGCCTTGTATGGGCTCGGGGCCGAATCATCCCGGCGAAGCCGTCGCACACCACCGTTCTTGGAGAGATCATACCAATCCTAATTGTATTCGCTTAGGCCAGGGGACCCAAAACACGTATAGTATAGCTATTAACTTCTAGATGTACGAAGGTACCATTATAAAATTTACAACTCGATAGGATTTATATAGTTTTTTGAAGTATATATGATCAGATCTAGCGTCGTCGGAGCTACAGATATGACACTTGCGACGGGAAGTAAACCCCGTCTGTAGATGCATGGCAGATCTCAGCCATGGCCAATCTCCCTTGATTGCAGTCGTGATCAGGTGGAATCGCAAATGCTTCGAATTGGTCGCCACCTCAAACCAGATGTCCAAAATTTTCGGAGTTTAGGTTATCTATAGATATCAATTAACGGATTAAGCTAGTTAGCTGTTTGTATATATATATATGTTATATATATATATGATATAGTTATGGAAGTTTCATCCTGGGGCTGGGGTCTAGGGAGTCTACTGCATGTACATATAACCTAGTACCACTAGGGTTGACAGCTTGGGCTGGTTTAGGCTAGCAGCTTCCAGACCGTTTCGGAAGAGATCCTCTAGATCGCTGACCATTGCTTCCATGAGGGTGTCCAATGTCTTGGCACGGTACATCTCGGATGGAATACAAGTGAATAGGAATCGGCTCAGCATGCTATGCCTTCGATGAAGTAAGACTGTAGGAGTAGAGGGTTTTGGGTCGACAGTTTAAGGGCTTAGTAAAACCTCGCGAAATTAATTATTAAAATACATAACATGTATACCTGGCTAGAAGAAACATGTGGCCGTTTCACTAAGGATCCCTGAAAGGTTGGTGACTGCAGGTCCAAGGTAGCCTATCAGAGCTTGCCAGGCAATGATCATGATTGGCTTGCGAGTCTTTCCTCTTCCCTCGTCTCCATGTATTGCTATAGGTATGCTGGCTTCTGGGCTTGCACCACCCATCTGTACCCCTGGCATTGACTTGTTGAAGTGGTGCCAAAAGCCTCTGTACATATTGCCCCAGCCATCAACTGATTCGATAGGGTGTCCACCCAGGATTACTTCTGGGCAAGAATTGAGCATCAGTCGTAGCCAGCTTGATGGAAGCAATACTGGATAATCGATTTCTGTCATCTGCGGTCTCCCACCACGAACTAGTCGAACAGGTGTCTTGATATATGTCACATCGACACGTAGACTTCGTCCTTGTTGAACAATCAGGCTATGCAAGTTGCGACTAGCATTCTTCTGCTGTTTGCCACCACTTCCACAAGCTGCGATCCGACTCAGCACAGGGTCAGCAATGCCTTAGCCCATATCCCAGCGCTGACTTTACAGGCATAAGACAGCCAACAGATACATATATGCTATCAAGAGACCTTTCTTGCGAAGCTTCCTCGAAGCAACCTGTGCCACCCGTACCACTCGTCGAGCACTCTCTGCCTTGGGATACGTAGAAAACCCCGACCCGCTGAATCCCATGCACAATCTAGGAGCACACTGATGAAATCCAAGCAAGGCACTCCTTGTTCAAAACCACGGAACAACTCATCTGCGAGGTCAGCATCGGAGCTGCCACTGGATCCTGCAGGAGCGAGATCTGTGTAATTGAGCAAGACTGCTTCGGGCTTGGGGGTGGACTCATGATTAAGCGAACTAGAATTAGGGTCCGAGGTTTACGGGTCATGGTGGATCTACATACAAATTTTTCAGGGAGGAGTCCTAGGGGTCGGCGGGAAGGCTTATAAAATACAGCAATAGGCATCGGGTTCACTAAAGTACGTACTGATTTGGCAACATACAATGCTAGCTTAATTGGGTTTAGGTGAAAGGGCTGGGGGACCATGCTTTCTAGACAGATAACTGGAGTTCTGGGCCTAGGCCATTTAGAGGTGTGTAGTTTAAGGCTTGGGAGCTAAGGCTGGTGAAGGATATAGAACCCACATAGGATAGTCCTTCCGGCTCAACCGGCTCTGTTCCTCTGGCCAGTAGACCTGCGGATGGGGACCCCCCAACAGCTATGCTTCGGGCTCATGCAGCATAGCAAGTGCACACACGTTTGGTCGAACATGGCAAAGTCTCCAACGTATATCTTTTCAGCACAGCATTGCCACGTACCCCTTTCGCGCTGCACTGCACATCGACACGGCTGAAGCTTAATTTAAGCTTGCGAGGAAAGATGAGGCCAAAAGCACAACAACGAATGCACAGCTTCTACAACACGTTGTTACCAATCGATAGCTTTTGGATACATCATCACACCACACACTCGTTGCCCGGCGGACCTCAGACACACAAACTCCTAGGGTGCAGAGCAACTTTGCCAGCACTTCGCGATAATCGAAGCCAAGGGCTGCTTGCAGCCCCACGAAGATCAAGCAACGCCAGCACATCAGGCAGCAGCTAGCTACACACTAGCAGCTAGCATTCTTCCTGGCACCACCCTTGGCCTTTGCCTTAGCAGTTTTCCCTTTCTTGGGCGGCTTCGAGGAAGCCACTGATCTGTTCGACGATGGCGCTTTAATCGACCTCGCTTTTCACGTTACGTGTGCACATACTCGGATACACAAGTGAGCGCTTGTGAAGCCGTGATACTTTGCTCGAAGCACCAGGTTGTTGACAACGAGGTCGCACTTTGTGATATCTGCGTACAACTTGAGCAGGCCGTCATTGAACGCCCTCAGATTTAGATCTAGATTTGTTAAACATGCATGCACAGTACATGTATACATGAACTCTGTTCACAGCCTCAGCTCGGGCTAGGGCTTGTCAGGGTGGCAGCTTACAGCATCAGCTTGTTTCGTAGTCAGCTGCTTGAAGTAGCCCTTGAGGTCTCGCAAGGCTTCAGACACGCTGTCTCGAAGCCTGAGTATCACAATGTGCGGGGTACAGGTTCCGAGTATATGTCATTGCGAGGATGAGGGGACGATAAACTAATCACGTGATCATATATATTAATGTCTTGGCTCCGGAAGCAGGAGTAGAGCCCAAAGGTTGAGGGTTTAGGGTTTAGGGTTTAGTAGTAGTAGTAGTAGTAGTAGTAGCAGCTAGTAGCTAGTAGCTAGTAGCTAGTAGCTAGTAGCTAGTAGCTAGTAGCTAGTAGTTAGTAGCTAGTAGCTAGTAGCTAGTAGCTAGTAGCTCGTAGCAGCAGCAGTAAAGCATTAGCAGCAGCAGCAGCAGGAGGAGGAGGAGGAGGAGTAGTAGTAGTAGTAGAGGAGCATGCATTGATCATATGGATGCAAGAGACCCAGCAGCTCGTGCTCCTGCCTCAGGAGCCAGCTTCTCCAATCGATCCTGCGGTAGCCAAGACTAACTACACAACCCCGACCCGTAACCCTAGTCCTAGATCAAACCTGCAACCTTAATTATATAACCTTCGGAACAAACCTTAGACATAAGACCGCTCCAGAACATCAGTGCAGTTGTCCACTTTCCGCCCCAAGACATCGATATACCCCGGAAGTATCTGCAAGGGGCTCGTGTTGGTTTGCAACGACGGGAAAGTTATCCTGAGTGACACAGTCGAGCAATTCTAGATACAAAGGGCAAGCTACCCCAACAGGTTTTTTAGCATGTAACAGGCAAGGCTCTTGAAACTGGCAGAAGAGCTGAAAGACTCGGGGGGCTTGGATCCGGAGGACTCGGCCGCACTGGCTTTGCCTGCGACAAGATCTGCTGCCGAGGAATCGATGCTGGGCATGTCGTTGCCCAGCAGGAACCCACTGTTGTCATCCTGATCAGATTAGGGGCTTTGGGGTTCATTGCGGCAGGGCTTTGGAGCTCGATCATATACATACATATATAGGGTTTAGGGTTACATATTTTGTGGCACGATTTCTGGGTTAGGCTACACTGGGTTTGAGGCTGTACGGGTTCAACTGACAACTTGTCGTCAACGGCTTAGACAATGGGACGGCAGAAATTAAGGCATTGGGGGAGGTTATTGGGGAGGTGTTGTGTGTTGCTAATTTAGTTTAGAGGTTGCCGGCCCCAACTTGAAAGCCTAAAGCACCAGAAGCCTAATTATTACCGAAGACACATTCTCCTGCCATACCACAACAGCCACACCTAAACCCTAAACCCCTAAACCCCTAAACCCTAAAACTTAATTATGTATATTTTACATGCTACACATGTCACGTATATCCACACATCTCCGATGAGAGCAGCCCACACAACAAATACTATAGCTAGCTATATCTATACAATACATGTGTAGTATCTTTATGCGCGTACATGTGTGTATATACATATGTATATAGCATGTATATATATATATGTATATATAGATGTATACACATACATACACATGTGGAGGGGGCATACGTATACACATGAACTAAAATGGTTGCATGCGAGCATCGTCGATCTGCAAGGATCCCTCAATCGAGATCTCGTGGCCCTCTTCGTCCAACAGAGTAAACGTATCCGACAGGAGCAGTCTCGCTTCTTCTTCCCCGTGGATTTCGTTTTTCCTCAAGTTGGCGGTCTTCGCCGCCCACTTCCAAGCGGCCTCCGTCATGGACCTTGCATATATACGTACTTTAGTACACATACTTAACGCATGGAGTAGTAGATTTGAAAGACCCAGCTCATGCTGCCATGTATGTAAGAGGCTTGGTCCAGTGGGCCACGTTCTGCAAGTACGTCTTCGTGTACCACCCCCCGGCCCGCTCCAAGCGCTTCTTCTTGAGGTGGGTCTTTTTGAGCGAAACTTCCAATGCACCGAAAGTCCCGTGGGACTTCAACATCTCGCGAAGCTGCTCACCTGAATTGCACCGATCAGACCACATTCGCCCAAACACCGATCATGCAGCAAAGATACGACCGTTCTCCGTCTTGTAGAGAGCCAACGCTTCTGGCGAGCACTTCAGAGCACCGCAAGCTTTCGGCTCGAAGTAGCGGCGGAGCCTGCAACACTCGATCGGGTGCTTTAAAAATATGGAATCACCGGACACATAACCCAAATCTGGCCTCCAGTACGTTGGGCTTTTGCCACGTTTGGCAGCTTTCGGGGCAGGGGCTGGGACAGGCGTGGATCTCTCACTGAGACTTGGGCCAGGGCTCCCCTCGCTCTGGGAACCCTTTGGTCGAGGGCTGTCCTTTGCCATCTCGGCAGGAGCTTCCACAGCAAGTTTCTTTGGGTCCGGGCTGCGGCCAGGGCCTTCCAAAAGTCTCTTTGGGCTTGTCTTGGGCGGGGGCATCGAGTTGGCTCTCTGCAAGTTCAACAGCTCATCCAGCTTCGGATTGGGGTTTTGAGCATCTTCGACTGCGCTGTCGTAGCTCCCCAAGCTCAGCTCGGTCTCTCGCCTTTCGATCTTGCCGGCCGACAGGGGCACATTCTGATTCCCAGCCAGCTGAAAAGACGAAGTCTTCCTTTCAAAAGTCAGACCTCGTCATGCGATCAAATTGATGCCACTCACATGCTCGGATCATGTAAGCCGATGTATGTATGTATGTATGTATGTATGTATGCATGTATGTATGTACATACGTGTGCATGTAGCCATATGTAAGCATGCAGATTTTATATATAGCATATGTACATATATATATATACATATGCGTGAGCACATCTAAATCATAGGTTTTATAAGATAGCATACACAAACTCATGTGTTTAAACAATCGAGCACTTATATTGTATGTGATGTATACATATATATATATACAATGAAATGTATTATAATGCATGTGTGTGTACGATCATATAACCGTGTATATACATATATATATAATACCGCATGCAAGAGGTATGTGTGTACATATATATATATATATGTGTGTGTACACACCATCCATCTATACATCCATTCATCCATCCATCCATCCATCCGTCCGTCCACCCACCCATCCCATCCCGTCCCATCCCATCCCATCCCATCCCAGCCATTCCATCCATCCATCCCATCCATCCCATCCATCCCATCCATTCCATCCATCCCATCCATCCCATCCATCCATCCCATCCATCCATCCCATCCATCCATCCCATCCATCATCCCATCCATCCATCCAGACATTCATCTACATACACACATGCAGCATATATATATATGCGATAGCATATGCAGATCCGTATCTGTATATCTCGATATGTATACTTTTCATACTACAAGTTTTTGTCTCTCTGTGGCTGTTCGATTGTAGGTGTACCTTCCGTAGGTGCATATATGAGTATGCAGAACTACCCAGACCCTGACTCTAATTAAGAAATAGTTACATATTTACATAATGTTTATTTCCAGGTTAGGCCCTTGAGCGACTCAGATAGCCCACCTGCAGGCTCACCGCACTCGCTCCTTGCAGCCGCCTTCTTCGAAGCGAGGCTGGCTTGGAGTGCATCAATCCTTGCCCGGGCTGCCTTGGATGGGTTTAAGGTTTAGGCAGCGGTTTAGGGTTTAGAGCCATTAGGGTTTATGGGGTTTAGAGAGGGTGTAGGGTTTAGGGAGGGGTGTTATATATATGGAGTTCATAGCCATCAGGGTTTAGGCAGCGGTTTGGGGTTTAGGGAGGAGTGTAGGGTTTAAGGAGGAGTGTTCTGGAGTTCATAGCCACTAAGGTTTAGGCAGCGGTTTGGGGTTTAGGGAGGAGTGTAGGGTTTAAGGAGGAGTGTTCTGGAGTTCATAGCCACTAAGGTTTAGGCAGCGGTTTAGGGTTTAGGGAGGGGTGTAGGGTGTAGGGAGAGTGCGTCATGGAGTTCATAGCCATTATAGGGTTTAGGCAGCGGTTTGGGGTTTGGGTGGGTGTAGGGTTTAGGGAGAGGTGTTATGGAGTTCATAGCCATGTTGGTTCTGGCTGGGAACAGGCTTACACAATAAATTGTTTTGTACAATATACAGATACTCAGATAAAGCATAAGTACCTCGATCTTGGCTCGCAAGTCATCGGGAGCACCATGAGCCATTGCTTTTGTAGAAAGCAAAGACACACCTTCTTTAAGAGTGGCACAACTCCACTGACGAACAGGCCCGCGCTTCACGTCCTGCATCCCTGCTGGCACTTGATCGGTAGTGCAACAGCAAGCAGCTACCACATAAGCTTTGCCAGTCATACATCACTTCCCTTCCTCTCCCTATCTCTCGCTCTCTCTCTCTCTCTCTCTCTCTCTCTCTTCAGGTGTGGCTCTCTTTGATTGACATCAGACCAGTATTGCCTCTCTCTGGCTGTGATCGAGAGCATATAACTAGGAGTCCGAAGACCAAGCCTGCACAAGGTCCTCGAATTAACCCTGAGGCCACGAATTTCGGAAGCCCCGAGTTTGATCCTACTGAATAAGAGCTGATTTGGGGCTAGCACGGCTGTTTCGTGGGGAGTGGTTCGAGAGGTTTTTGGGTTTGCGCACGGTTGCGGGTATTTGCGCACGGGTTGCGGATATTTGCGCACGGATTGCGGGTAAATCTGTTCGAGCATTTTTGGCAAATTCCCCACCCACCCCTTTAAAATAAATAAAAAACCTCCCGGCTGGTTCGGGGCTGGCTGGCTGGATCCTGGGCTCTGGCCTGAGCGGTTGAGGCTGGGGTTGTGGTTGTGGTTGCGGGGTTGCGGTGTTTGGGGCTCCCCTTGGGTTTGAGGTTGTGGTGTTTGGGGTTCCCCTTCGGTTTGGTTCTGGCCTAGTGGGCTTGGCTAGGCGATTTGGTGGTCGGGCTTGGGGTTTGGGCCTGGTCTGTGGCTCGGCTCGGGCTGGAGCTTGGGTGTGGGTGGGTGAACAGGACAAACGATCCCTAGAAGCCCTGACTGAGCCCACTCAAACTCGATCGAAACTCTGGGCTTCACCACAGGCTGCATGCCCACTGCTGGCTCCGCAGATCTTGCAAGCTCGCATCTCATTTGCCAGATATTATGGGCGAGGGCCGTCTAGGGTTCAAGGCAGGCCGGGATTACCTAGTGGTGGCGGTAAATAATTATGGTGTCTAGGGTCTAGGGTTTCAGGCAAGCTAGTGGTGGCGATATATATATATATATTAGAATTATAAGGTTTAGGGCTAGGGCGTCTGGGGTTCAAGGCTGAGACCAGGATCACCTAGTGGTGGCCGTAAATATAATAGGGCTAGGGCGTCTAGGGTTCAAGGCTGCCTAGTGGTGCCGGTAGGGTAGCTAGTGGTGGTAGTGGGTGGTAATGGCAGTGGCAGCGGCACTGGCAGTACTAGTGTTAATGGTAGGAGTAGTAGCGGTGGCAGCAGCACCAGCAGTGGTTGCAGTAGTCACAACCTATTCAGGGCTGGAGATTGGAGCCTAGGCATCCACTATGGGTTTCAGATCGATATTTGGGGTCGTATGTTATATATAGTGTTTGGGTCCTGCACCTACAACGACAAGGACGACTCCTACTACCCTACGACGATGTGCTCGTGGTAGTGCTACTGCTGCAAAACTGTTGCTGTTGCTAGTGCTGCTGCTGCTGCTGCTGCTGCTGCTGCTACTACTACTACTACTACTACTACTAGCTGCTACTACTACTACTACTACTACTACTACTGCTACGACGACTACAATAATGCTACTCCTGCTGCTGCTGCTGCTGCTGCCACTGCTGCTGCTGCTGCCTGCGGCTGAGGCTTCACTAGTCTGTAATGATCGATATTACTTCGACTACTACCTACTGCTACTGCCACTGCTCCTCCTCCTCCTCCTCCTCCTAGTACTACTACTACTACTACTACTACTACTGCTACTACTAGTGCTACTACTACAACTACGACGACGACGACGACGTACACGACACTACAGGTGCTATATTACTAGTGCTGCTACTACTACTAGTAGCTACTAGCTACTACTACTACTACGACGACGACGACTACTACTGCTACTGCTGCTGCTACTACTACTACTACTACTACTACTAGCTTCTTCTACTACTACAATATCATGCAATATGCAACTCTAAAAACCCCAAACACAAAGCCCCAAACCTTACACCCTAAAGCTAAAGCCTACACCCTAAAGCATGGCGCTTGCAAGAATGGCCACTACTGGCAGCTTCGGATCCCATGGCGGGCTTCTTCTGGCCCAGGAGCTAGCCTAACTTTAGGGTTTAGGGCTTAGGGTTTGTGCTTTATGGAGCAGGGATCTGTCTAGTTGATGCCCAGGCATTTTGTGCTTAGGGTCGGTTCATAGCCACAAGGCTATCTTTTTGGGCTCCAGTGGAATTTAGCTCCAAAGCTATACTATGTGCAGGTTTAGGGTTTAGAGTTTAGGGTATATCTAGTTTATCAGTACCCTAAACCCTAAACCCTTATATAGTGAACTATCTACCCCTAATCTCCTATCACCACCCCAGACCCCGAGCTCAGCCCTCATGCGGGACCCCACAGGATCCATTGGCAGCTTGCTCAGACAGCTGCTTTAGTTCGGAACGAAGGAACTCATCACCACAAGCCTCGGATCATACGATAGCAGCCCAGACTATTTGTGATTTCAGAACCAATTGAAAGGCCAGGCACTTTCATCATGACTTCATCCTTGAAGTTCTCCATGACACCGGACCAGCTGTCGGGTATCCTCAGAGCATGTACTTAAGGCGGCTAGTCAAAGGCATGCAACAGGCAATGTTTCCCTTGCATCATGCAGATCTATGCAAAAGAGCAACTGGCAATTCTTCGACCCATACAGGTAGAGGAACGTCTCGTGAACCCGAGCGTCCAACCAAAGATCGCCCGTTTCCAAAGCAGCAAAAATCTCTTTATCACTGCTGCCAAGATCTACGTGCCGGCGGCCGCGGATATCCGCGCGTTCGGCAGGAGGCAACTTGCGCCATTCATCGAAGGCTTTCAGCAAGTTTTCACCAAAAACCCGGGTGTAGATCCTCGGATCAAGCAGATGGTCTGGGGTCTAGATATATAGGACTGGCCAATAGCTAACAGCCAAGGGTCCCGGATTCCTTGAGGATCTTTGGTTTCCCCACGTACCGGCGTTTCCCGGCTTTGTCAATGTACCTGCCTCAGAGGAGCCCCTTCTAATTCTGATTAAGATTCCGATGGACTACTAGTTTAAAAAAAAAACACTGGAGCTCTAACACCTATAGAATGTACATCTATGAATCCTATAGGAAGTCTACTAGCTCAGGCAGATCTAGAGTGCCCTAGGGATTTGGGGAGAAGGTTTAGGGTTTAGAGTGTTCTCGATCGATTGTATATTTTGTAAAGACTTGGCACCTGTACTTAAACAAAGCCTAGGTTCGGACCAACTTTGGACCTTCGAATGATTCTCTCTGGGTTTTCGTCATCCGCCCCAAATCCAATAAGGAAACCGTAGGCATTGATGAACAAAGAATCGTCGGCTTGGGGGACGAGCAGCCATGGAGCCCCATCCAGAAAGATTGCTGGTAGACCTCACGATTTTATCAACAGTACTGCACCATTATGGTTTATAAGCCAGACTATCTATCTAGCTATATATTGCGGGCAGGTTTCTTTAGCAACCCGGTTGCATAACCATTGGAAGCGGCGGTGTTGTTGTAGTAGAGACCCTTAGGGTTGTTCCAGTGCCCAAGCAGCATGCTTGGAGAGGATTAGGAGAATCAACAGCACACACCTTGGATTGGCACGTGGGAAGACCTAGCTTAACTAGGCCAGTACATATCTAGCACATGATCTATGTGACCCAAGCACAAAATCTGAAGTGCAGCTAATCCTCCGTGACACCGTGCAGTTATTGTCATCAACCCAAGCTAGTGACTGGCGGCCTGCAGGATTTAGTGGTGACCGTAAGCTGGTGCCACGGGTTGTTGTTATCCATGAGCCACAATCTGGGGCCATCAAGTTCATAGCATCTGGTAGCTCGCAAAGTACAACATACAAAGCAAGCCTCAGATTCTGGATGCATGCAGCACAGTCAGGAAGGCCCTAGCCAGAGGAACACAGCAGGCACACATGTACAATATGTATTGCAATCCATGGAACCCAAACCCAGCACTCGATGTGAATTCCATGGGTTGGCCATAGAGGTGGTCATACGAGGCGACGGTGTGGCCTTTCTCACTCCTGGCTCTAGTTATGGTACATTGTACATGGAGCTACAGGCACAACAACATGTGCATGATATGCATATGTAAGGCCAGTAGCCAGACTTCTGACACATGGCCGACCCCAGAAAACACTTCGAAGAATGAATATCGCTCTGTGAAATCCAGATTGCTCATCCACCTCAGGCAGAGCACCTTGGTGAACCACCATGCAGCAGACAATAACATAGAGAAGCCGAGGGAAGCAACGACTATTGCTATGCCAGAGATTCTGACCGTGGCAATGAAGACCTCGGAAGTAACATACTATATAGAGCTGGCTATCTGTCTTGACTGAACAGTGATTGCAGCCACATGTGTTGTTGAGTGGCCTTTGGGGCATTCAGCTGGGCCAGGTTCACAACCATGGAATATGTTTTCTCCATGGCGAAAAACAAGTAATCTAGGTGCTGCTTGCTTGCACCCAGCTCGAACAAAGTCTCAGAGAAGGCAACAGGTACAACTTGTGCTGTGCTACCCACCATCACTGCTGCAGGCGACAGCAACAAGAACCAAGCAGTGGAGGTGGTGCACCAGCAATGGAGGCTCGGACTGCCCAGCCTTCACTCATCGAGCAAAGTCCTTCCATGCAGTTGATGACACATGTGCACTCTAGGCTTAGATTGTCATGGAGAGAGAAATTTGCACATGTGCTATAAGGACGTGTCGCGAAGTTGCAATGCAGTCAGCCCTTTCATGCTCTTGCGGACTCGGTCTGATGCTCATGATCCGGAGGATCTGTGCTGGAACAGAAAACCCCATTAGCAGGAAGACATACCTGCCCCCAGATGACTGATATCAGTCACTCGCAACATGATCAGCATGATTTGAGGGCCTTGCCTCGCACACTGAAACCCCAGAATCCCTGGTCACTGATAGGGTAGACAGTCAAAATCCAGGCCATCATCATAATCCGGACACGTCGGCTAGTTGGTCTCCGCATAAGCCTCAGATGCGTTTAGAGGTTTAGGGGTTCAAGGGTTTAGGGATTTAGGGCTGGGTTTTTTCTATATACAATATTAAATATACATCTAGAAGCTATAGATATGATATTATTTATATAATATATATATATAT